ATAACTAATCGATACCTCAATATCGAAAAGTATCGACAAACTATCAAAAAAAAAAGAGCGTTTCTTCTCTAAATAACGTTTTTGTGTTTTTGTGTGGGGGATTTAAACGTACTTTTGACGTTTCAGGCAACTGAGAATTATTTTTTTGTGTCAAAAGGTGTCCAATATGTTCATTGAAGAAGCAAGACCCCATCTGCAAGAAAACGTAACCTTAATTCGATACGTCTTGATAACATTGAAGGTTACCAACCGACCCTCTTTCGAGAGGCATCAATTTTCATTCGCTGGGCCGAAAGTTTTGTAAGGAGAGACGAGAGACAACTTGATCCTTTTTTAAAAAACTCCGCTCTATTACTACATATTAATTTCATAACAATGTTAAGTTTAAAAGATTAGTTAAATAGTCAAGTTGGCGATACTGTTTGATTAAGACGTTTTAGTGTTGCGTTCTAATACACGATGTCATTCCTGATGGCGCCACCAAACAGAGCAGTTCGTACGTAGCCTTCTATAATTTTAGTTTTTCTTCTCTTCTTTATCATTAAGGATCTAAAAAATGAGTTCAAAGAAGCGCTGGTTCAATGAGCAATAATGTCAAAAATAATTTTCGTTTTATGTATGATCATTTTTACATATGAGACTTGTCCTATTGTATATTGCGCGGTTCGGCCTCTGCAGTCTTTCTAGTGTTTCTTTGAACGTTTTAATATTCAGGTTTACATTAATCATTTTTTCCAAATCCATTCCGTTGTGATGTGTTCTCTAAGTGATTCTATGTGGGACAGTGACTTTCTGTTGTAAATTAAACACCCAGTTGGACTAGAGTTGGTGCAATGTTTTCTAAGAGTACAACTCTGTGTGAATGAAAACAATACAGAACAATTGGTTACTAAAACATTACAAATTTTTCGATCTCATAATAGTACAAACGAAATATGCCTTTAAGAATATTATAGAAGAGTAAAACTTCGTCATATACAATTTCCTTGGACGTGAAGACGTTTTTAAGAAAATGTCATTTAAGCTTTACTGTGAATGTGAAATTTGAAGCCTCTTAACAAAAAGAAACACTTCTGAGTATAATGAACTACACTGGAAGTCATTCGAAGCCTTCACTCATAAAGAAATATTGTATACAAATCGCTGGGAATGTGCATATTAATTACGTGAGAGATATTGAAAAATACATGGCGAAATTTTTGAAAAAACAACAAACATCAAAATGACTTATATTTCATCTTACTCAGTCCATGTTGAACTATCCATACAAAATTTGAAGAAAAAATGGATGCGTTTTGGAAAAAATCCCATAAGAACTTCTGTACTATACGAAATTTGGATCTATTTTTACAGAAAATTTTATTTTGGAGAAACTAAATTGACATTCAAGTGATGTATTTTGACTCACAAATACTATAATCTATACAAATTTCTGGTGTAAATAATATGGCATGAGACCAGTTTTAAAAAAAATACACTTGTGTAATTTTTGAAAAAAAATATACATTATAATGGAATTATTGGCATTTTGTTTAATTAGTTTGCCACCATCCGCAAAAAAAAATAAAAGAAAAATCGGAGCCGCTTTGAAAATAATAGCGTTGGAGCGTTTTTGAAAATTTGTGCCATTTTCTTAGAACAATTCTGAGTTTTCGAGAAACTTTTTGAAATATCTTTTACAGTAAATGCACCCACAAATGCAATTATAGGAACAAATCGCCGCTAATGTAAATAGACCCGGCGTGAGAGACAAGTCAAAAAAATTAATTTTTTTATCATTTACTGAGTTGCAAATAATTTGGCAACATCCATTTTAACTTATGTGAGGGAATCTCTCTCCCACAAATATCAACATTCAAAATTAAACTTCTACTAACACACACACAATATATATAATTTTTAGATGAGATGTACCTGACCGCAAGGTGACATGATAATTCGTCATCTTCCCGTTGTCAACATTCAACATAATAAAATACAATCATTAAACACTTTTATTTTCTCGTATACGTTCGTATATACGGAGTTATATTACGATTTCGAGATTTTAACGGAAATACGTTTTGTGGCCCCCTGATATCGAAAAAGTAGGTCTTTCAAAACGTTCGTCTGTGAACACTTCTAGCGCCTAAACCGCGCATAGGAGTGAAGGAACGCTCATTGAAGGAACGCTTGTCGATCTTGCTCGCGGCAAGTCTGTGGGATTTTGAAAAACATTCTTGAAAATTTGGGGGCCCATGAAGCCCTGAACATGAAGCCCTCTGGGCATTTTCAAACTTTTCTCAAAAACGGGTCCAATTTTTTTCCTTAAATTTATTTTATGAATGGAATAACATACACTGATGAAAGTGTCACAAGTCCGATTTTCACTGTTAACTCTGAATTTTCGAAAATTTGAAAAGTATGCAATTTTTTCTGTGTTTGCCTACAACTACAATATTAAAGATAGATATTTTCTCTTCCAATGAAATTTGTGGTCCATAATTACTTCTTTTATTAAAGTCATTACATTTTTTAAATCGTTTAGTAGTTTTCGAGCAATATTGCGTATAATTTTTAAAATAACAAAAACAAGATTTTCTCAAAATCTGCTCCAAGATTTTTCTTTAAAATTTTGGAAAGGGTAGTGCTAAAAGTACTCTATGAGATGACAAACATCAGTTTGCTCAGTTCTGTTGTTTTTTCAAAAATTACAAAAATGTAATTTATTTGACTTGTCTCTCACGTTGTTAATATTTACAAAAGCGACGATTTGTTTACATTATTATATTGATGAGTACATGTACTTTAAATAATGTCATACGTTTCTCGAAAACCCAAAGAAAATTTGCCATTTAGTACGTGGTTTTACAGTTCTTTGATATTCTTAAAATGATATTCCCATTCTACTGTTAAGAAACCGAAAAATTAAGAAAATTTTTTAGAAGGTACTTGGGCGGCGATAGAAGGCATCTGGGGTATGTGGCAAGTCCGAATAGATAGCCGAGACCAAAGGAAATAAAAAAAAATATGGGAAAGTCTCTGCCATTCTATAGAATCACTAATTTTGTTGTAGATATATACAAAAGTCACTTTGTTATCAAATTTCTCCACAAACTAATCAAAACTCTCCATTATATTAGAAAGTAAAAACTGTTCTATTTGTTTGGATTTTTCTTCAACAAGCAATTGTTTACTTGATTCGGGATCATTTCTCTTTTATGGTTTTCTTTTTGTATGAGAAAGATGGATTGCAATTAAAAATGCTTGGTATAACGCGTCTTTCAACTTCGGATATAATAACCAATACTGTGCCAATTCTTAAATTCGCTGTTTCCTTTTTTGTAAATTTGGTGTGATACAATATCTGATTTTCTAAAATGCTTACCCCTACACCAGAACTGAAGGATGGTTCTCCATCGTTAATGGAAATTGCACATAGTCACTTGTTTTCGAAGTCTTTTCTTTCGGAAACGAGAATGTAACTGAAGTTTGGACAGCTTTCAGTGTAGTATTGTATTTAGAATTGCATTGTCGAACAATACTTTCTTGGCATCTGCAATAAAGGTAATTTACATTTATAAATATAGTTTCTACACGACTACATGATATTTTAGAAATTTCACTTCTTAAAAAAAATGTTTGATATGCTAAGCTGGATGATTGTTTCTGTTTTCAAAAGTTAAAGTTAAGGATATGTTTACTTCGAATGTAACTACATTCGGATATTGTATTCACGTTGCGCTACATGTGCAATAACGTAAATAATACCAGTGTCTGTGAAGGTTAATGTCAGTAATCAGAATTAAAATACATTATTCTGAATGAAGTTGATTATTACGTTCAATCCCTTGAATTAAACGTATAAAATGGCAAAGAAAGAAGAAAATATGATTATTATCCTCATACATTTTACCCACATTTCGCGTTTTATCTCACTGGCATTGAAAATTCACCTCCAAACGACCAAAACCACTACCATCGTTTCCCTGCACCTTTACGTGAACACAAGAACCACATCCAGCCAATTCGCGCCCTTTATGGCTTGTAAGTGAAGATGGCGTTACCTCGGCCAGTTAACTACATCGTAGGCTCCGCTATCGCTGCACCTCATACGTATTGCCCGATTTACAAGTAAATATAGTGATCTGAAAATATTAGCTGTGACGCGCTTATCTAATAGGGAACATCAAAACTACTTCCATTTTTGAAATTGAAGCTACCGCTTGAAGGACAGGGTCCCCTGTCCTTTCAGATCCCCAAGTGCGCAGGCCCAAAGTTTTGATCTCGGACGAAAAGCCTAGGACCTTGACCTTGAAGACACCATATAAGAACGAGGTACATAAATAATATTTTTAAAAAAGTCGTTAGATATCCACATTTTATAATATTTATTTTCTGAGAAACGTGTGATGAATGGAGGCACCATAACGCGGTGTTGCAGGCGACGGAAGCGCGGGGAGGTGCCTGTGCTGCTTGGTGGCCCTCGCAGTGCTGTTCCTCTGGTCGCAGGCGGCGCAGGCAGGCGGCGCCACAAACACCTCGGCGTCACTCCCCCACAGTAGGTGGTCGCCTTGGGCCTGGTTCTTGCACGCGCACTCACACAAGCCCTCGCCCGCTCCTCCACTGGCTTCCTCGCTCGCGTCGTCGCCCGCGTCCGCGCCCTCGCCTTCGCCCGCGTCCTTGTTTGCGCCCTCGCCCGCGCCCTCGCCCGCGCTCTCGCCCGCGCCCTCACCTCACTCGTGCCCACGTCGCACCGCGCCCTCGCTCGCGCCATCGCCTTCGCCGCGCTCGCCGCGGCCCGCACCTCGCCCCACCTTCGCCCTGGCCCACTGTCTCCCTCCGTCCCTCGACTAACAATCTCGCCCCTCTTCTCAACGCACGCTCCTTGCCCACCCCTCGCTCCGCTCACAGTGTGTATATTCAGGATGCTAGCCCTCAAATTATTTTCTCGCAAACTACTCATTTATTTTTGACGAAATTTTGCCACACTTATTACCAAAGTACTTGATTCATCTCCGATGACGGGTAAGGCTTGCAATGTATAGGTATTAAATTCGATTTCCAGTTTCATTCACGAAAAAAATGAAATCTCTTGTATATCGGGACATAGTTAAAACAATTCACTCAACAAATGTTGTACACGAAAAACACGAATCAATGACTATTCTATAATATAAAAAATGAATTCGCGAAATGTGTGTAAGCTCATATAAGACTCAACAAGCCCTGACAATTTGTGGCAATTCTTTTTTGTAAAATGTTTCGCTGAAGTTTCAAGATGGTTTTTACTCGTAGAAAAATATCGAATAATAGCAAAAAAGCAATTAAAAACAAGCCTTTTCTTTTTCCCATAAAAACGTTTTCTAACTAAACGTAAGAGTCAGATTTGAGCTTTATAGCTGTTGTAATAAAGCACTCATTGTGTTAGTACAAAGCTCATGTGTAGGTATGTTCCTAACGTCAGAGTCATTTTCAGGGTTGCCACCTCTCCGGCGTTTCAGACCGGGATGGTTTTTATGCGGTCTTTAATCCTCCGGGTCTCCGTTTTTGAAAAAATTATCTGCATTTTTTTTCTTTTTGTCAATTTCAATATTTTTCAATTTTTTTTACAAATAAATTGATTTTTAAACTAAAATTAAAGCTTTTTCTATTTCATAAGAAAAATCAGTCTTCTCTTCGTTAGAACGATAGAGCAAACGTGGAAAATTGGTCTTGCCGATTCTCGTGTTATCGCCATCCGCTGTCTTTTCTTTCTCGCATACAGACGAACAGCATCTAGCGATTTGCGAGAATCGCATCGTGCCAAACAGTTTCAATAAAATTCCAGGAATTAGCGTATTCGATATCTTCATTTTGAACAAGATGAATTTGTCGTTTTATCTTTAGAAAAATCTTTCTAGAAACTTAATAAAGAGTACATTTTGATTCGTGGGAAACTTGCACGTCAATGTATTACTTGTGTGAAAACTGAGAAACGATAAATAATACATATATATATATATATTATTATATATAATTAATATATAATATATTATATATATATAATATGCAACATCTTCGTAATCAAAAGACTTGATATTTAGATAACAAATAACATTTTTAAAAATAATGTTATAAAAACGAATTATTATACAGGTAAGTACATACAATTGTTTTACATATCTCTATAACCTAAGAAATAATTAATTAATAATTCTTTGTTTAGAAAAACTAAGTTAAACCATATATTATTGAGCGAAACATTTTAGAAAAGTGCGGTATTCGTAAAAAATGAATTAATAAAAAGTATGTTAAGAACATACATAATACATAATTTAGTATATAACATGGTTTAGCAAATATTCTTTCTCATTTATTTTATTTATATTTGAATTACTACATAAATAGATGAAGTAAAGTTAATTTATAAATTAACACTCTCACTACCATACAAACTTTATTTAGCCTTAAATATTTAATAACCCCACCCCCCCGTCGCAGGGTCTCACGTATTCTGGAATGGCAATGGTGGCAACCTACAATTTGGACTTTATTACCGTTATACAAAGTCCAAAATCAATTCATATCTATCAAAACAGTGGCGTGTGTGCGCGTTTGAAGCACAGGAATACATATTTGAGATATATATTCGGGCTTCCAATATTTATAATTAGATATGCTCCTATTAGACGAAGCAATTATGGTATGAAAACCGAACGCTACCAAACAAGTAATTACGATCTAATCATGCTGACAAGAATTGACGACCGAAATGAACGTGAAAGAATTCGATAACCAAGAACCGTGAAGCGCGAGCCGCCATTACATTTAACCTAATAATCGCCAAGTTTGAATCGAGCTGTTTCAGTTACGATTGTCAAGTTGAACAGTACTAATAACTACCAATGTTGTTTTATTGTTCTGATGAACTCGGTTTGTCTGCATATTGTATAGGCATTGAAATTTAAAAACGAGCCTTATGGATGTGTGTTGCGGCAAATGGTACAACATGAAATTGATACATTAGAACCACCACCAAGTAGACATTGCACTCATTGGGTTTCAGGAATAGAGACAGATTCCATACACTTTTTACAAATATCCAACAAATTATAAAATAATACGGACATATTCGGAAACAATTACTGGAATGACGGTTATCCACTGTATCGTCACGATCGACAGCAATGGAAGTATCAACATGTCAAATTAATCAACAGATATTGAAAAGATAATCGTTGGATTGTTCATATTCACCCATTTTATCAAAGACCTTCAAAGCAACATCAACGTTGATGTTGCCATTCAGTGAAATCTATTAAATACATTTGCAAATATATACAATGCGCTGTGATTGGAATTGGTGCATAGTAATCCAATGATTAGTTACCATTACCAAAATGGGCCGCTATGTCAGTAGTAATGAGCAGTATGGCGAATATTTTTTTCCTATTCATGAGAGATCACCCTTCGTTGTTCACGGATTAATGCCATGTG